AGAGCTTAGGATTTAGGGTGTAGGGCTTATGATAGAGTCCTACCCCTAAGGCCTATAAGTCTCCTCATGGGGGCTCCTGAGGAAAGGAGCCCTCAGTTTTCCACCTTGCACGGGCTTCTCCATCCTAAACCGGCAAGCCGGACCCCGAGGTTCCTAAACCCCGAGCGCGCGAAACCCTAAACTAAGGAAAAAGGGCCCTAAAGCCTGGAACACTAAAGCCCCAAACACCTTTCAGACCTGCTTCACTAAAACCCCCAAGACCATACAACCCCATTTTTCCTTCTACTTCCTTCTACAAGCCTCATGGTACCCTTTAGGAACCGCTACTGAAGCGTTGTAGAAGTCTATCAGCTGCACTGCAAGAGGTCACAACCAAATCCTGGGTCGGCAAATTCTCGACCGCTTCGAAAATGCCGTGGTCGCCTCGGATCCTGGCACGTGGGGTTTAGGTTCTAAAAGGGTTCTGCAAGGGTACTGTAGGATTAGAGTTTGGGATTGTAGGATTTGAAAGGAATTTCCGGGGGGGGGGGGGCTTATGGCGTCTCTTTTTCTGCTTGTTGCCAGGATCCAACATCTGATGGGTCGTAGGAAGTTCTGCGTTTGCAACGTCCTTTTTAGGTGTCTGGAGCGCACACCCTAAACCCTAAGCCCTAAACCCGGGGAAGCTCAGTTGATTCTCGAGCGGGATCTGGCAGAGTTTCGCGTTTATGTTGTTGTGGGTGTCGTCTCAGTAGGTTTTGTTGCCTAAACGGCCTAAACCTCAAGCCAAAGCCCTCATCCGAAACCCTAAACCCTGCACCCTAAACCCTGTGCAGCCTTAAACGGCAAGCCCAACACCCTAACCCTAAACCCCCAAACCCCCTAAACACCGAAATCCCCCTGTGGATCCCTTAGAGGAATTCTTATAGATCCCTTAAAGGAACCCTTATAGATTATAGATCCCTTAAAAGGAAGCCCTAAACCCTAGAACCTGGAGTCACGAGGGCTCGAAGGCTAGACCCACATGGCATCACCTCAGAGTTTAGGGTTCAGGATGTAGAGGTTTAGGGTTTAGGGGTTTAGGGTGTAGGGTGTAGGAGTTTAGGGATTCAGGGTTCAGGGCTTAGGGTTTAGGGTTTAGGGGTTTAGAGTTTAGGGTTTAGGGGTCAGGATTTAGGGATGAGGGCTTTTGGAGATCGGCAGAATGCCCAATACCCCTTAGTTCGGGAATATACCGAGGCAGCAGGAGAAGACGACCGAAGGCACATGCACCCTCGGGTCGATGTGTCACTAGGTCCCTGAGTAGTACCCTTTTGCCCTTTTTATTTTAGGGCCCCCTTGCTAAAACCGAATAGTAGGAAAAAGGGTACCCTTATTATAAAGGGGCTAATTACTCAGGAACCAAGATCAAGTAGGCTATGGCAGCTTTTCCCTTAAATCCAAGTGCATAGAAACTAGTTGGGCGATACCTGTGGGAATTTCAGCAGATTGACACACATGAACAACATTAAGGAGCCCTCAAGTATCGGGTCCTTCTCGCAATTAGTCCTAAACAGGAACCACTTGCTCTTGAGTGTCTTCTTTTAATAAGTAGCCTTAAACAGGAACCCCGTTATGTTACGTATACTTGCAATAGCCGGACCCCTGATGAAAGCCCCTGAACCCTAAACTCTAAAGGTGTCCAAGAAAAAACCACAACCTTAAACCCCTGAACCCTAAACACCCGCTTTGGCTCTTTGGGCTCTGCATCCCCGATAGGTGTCTGTCAGCGTCAGCCCCGCAGAGGAGGAGGCGGTTTGCCTGGCGTCAAAGGTTTAGGGTTTAAACCTTAGGGTTTACCCATAGGCCCCTAAGTAGTTCCTTTTTGTGGCTTAGATTTAGGATCCTATAAGGTAACCCCCAAAAAGGAACTACTAAGGGGCCTATGGGTAGGGTTTAGGGGGTTTAAACCCACGTGTCTTGGAGGCCTTGGATATTGGGGTTGTAGTCATAGAAAAGCATGCTAAACATTAAGGCCTAAAGGCTTAAAAACACAAACTAAACCCTAAATTTGTGTTTTAAGAGACTCGGATCCCTCTCACGATACTTTTTACGGTAGGAGAATCCAGAGTTTAGATACAGGCTTCTTTCTTTAAGGAGGCCTGAATATGAACATCCCCATAGTCCTTACAATGCGAGAGGGATTTATTCATCAGGGGTTCTTCATAAATATAGGGACGTAGGGGCTCGGGGAGGGCCCTAACCCCTGAACCAGGGGTTCAGGGGTGACGGTAAGGACTTTAGCGGTTTTAGTATCTTGGAGAAAAAAGAACACGAGCTTTACTTCTGTGCATATAGACGCACAAATCTCTCTCTCTCTCTCTATATATATATATATATCTGTATGTCACTTTAGGGTTTAGGGTTAATGTGTGACTCTACCTATAGACTGCGGAAGCCTTTTCTTGGGAACCCAACGTAGCACCAGTTACGGGTCCAGTTTATCCCGTTGGCAAGCGTACCTGCGGAACCATTGCCTTAAAGCCGCTTTAAAGCCCTAAAAACCCTAAACCCTTAGAGCCCTAAACCCTAAACCCCTATAGCCCTAAACCCTAAACCCTTAAAGCCCTAAACGCT